CCCCCCCCCAATCTCTGTATTGTCCTCCTCTGCTTGTCTCCCCTCCCCCCTTCTCTGCCTATGCTCTCACACGTCTACCACCTCTGCCCCTGCTTGTGTCCCCTTCCCCCAGCTTTCTCTCACCTGTTTGAACCTTCCTCTTCTGCAGTCTGGTTAAAGGGATTTGAATAATTTAAATGATTATAATGATGTTTCCTTAAACCTATGTTCTTTCATCTCCACATTAATCTGCAATAAATTGAGTTTCCAGAGTAGATAGAGCTTGGATTTTAATACTTCATGCCATTTTATAAAGACACACGAAGGACAAAATCATTTGTGTAAATAGCAGGCCATCATGCATTTAGAAGTATGCCTTCTGGACTGGATAATAGCTTTCTGATAGCAGGAAGGAGGAATAAATTGAAGAATAATCATTTGATTTCTAAAACCACAAAGCAACAAAATCTAGAATAGGCTTATATTAATTGCAGATATTGAATTCACTGCCTGAATGGGTGGTGGAAGCAGATTTAGTGGTCATGTCGAAGAGAAAATTATATATTTGAAAAGAAAATATTTGCAGCAATGTGAAGAATTGGTGTGGAGAGTGGGACTAAATGGATAGCTCTTTCCAAGGGGACAATGTTGGCACTGTATGATAGGCTCGATTCTATGACCATCAACATATTGAGCTCAATTGAATATATGGAATGAATAATGCATTTTGTTTAGTACAATTACAATTTCTTCAGAGACCATAACGCTACGTTAGTTAACTTGCACTCTCCAATGGTAGAGGCATTAACCAGTGATTTCTTTTCACAAAACAGTTGTGCAAAACACTGTACAACTGTATCATTCAGTTGTGTACCCCCTAGTCTGTCATCTTCTGAGATATGTCTTTCTTCATCATGTTTCTCATGTGACCATTGACTCCTGGGAGTTGAAATATATCTGCCAAGTTATTCAGCAAATATTCTAACACCTCGCCAAAGCAAATGATCTAGCTGAAGGCTCAGTACACTCAGAAATATTAGCTGGCACTAGGCAACTGCTGTTGGCCACATGAAGTAACAAATATTTATACTGCGTATCCTGAGGATCAGGGTGCAGTTTTGAAGAGATATTGTAGAAGTGTTAGTTCAGTCAAATCCTGAGTCTTTGAGGTAGTTACTAACACATTTCTCAATATGATACGATAATGAGAAAATTGCAATAACAATTTGGGAGAATGATGTTGTTTTAAAAGCTTTTTTTATCTCAATGTAGGCCTAGATTTTTTTACTTCCAGATGTTTATTTTGAACAGACAAACAAGTTAAAAATCAGATTTGATGCTTTCAGCAGCAGTTGCTACTTAGTTTATCAAACTGAATTCAATTTGGTGAGTTTTGAATCTATCCTCATTTACAAAATGTCTATTAATTCAACCTTGAATGCAGTTCAGGAGGAGGAACTATATTTCCTGGAGACTTCTGGAAGATTATGCAAAATGAGAGTGTGGTACATTGAAAATAATCACCAGAAGCTGTAAGAATGTTTGACATTCAAAATGGAAACATGTTTTTATTCATTCATTCATGGGATGTTGTCTAGATCTAGACTGAGTTCTTCCTTCTGCTCCTGTTCATATTCGACGATTTTGTTGGTCATGTTTTGTGGTTTTCACTCAACAACACAGCTCCCCAAGATACTCCTTATTAAATCCAATAGGGAATTCAGGAAGAATTAGAATGTACGCCACTCCACCACAAGGAGTAGCTGAAGCAAATAGGCTAGACAACTTCAAGGGAAAAATGCTCGTATGGAGGAGAACAGTGGGTTAGGTCCTTTGGGGATAACATTCTCTGAGACTTCCACTTGTCACAGGTGTTTGACACATATTTTAAGGAGGGAAAAATGAGTGCTTGCTGGCACTCGGGCTTACACCTGAAGCCTGGGTACTTATCAATGGAACCATATCAAACAGAAACCCACCTGGAGGGGAAATAATGGGACCGTTTTTATTTCTAGAAGTTGTCCATGATGGGCAATGCCATTTTCTTTCAGGAACTGTTCTTTCTCCATCCATTTACAGATATTGACTGAGTCAATCTGACAGTGAAGGCATTTTAATAAGCATCAATCAGATTACTGTATTGTAGTGACTAACAGGCTGCAGAACGTAATCTAGACCAGTTAAGGTTTCTTTCTGAAAGCATTTTCTTTGTATCCTCTTAGTTGAGTCAAAGAATCTAATCCATATTCGCTTGGAAGGGGGAGATGACTCATCATCATTTTGGCCTCTTCCAGTATTGTTACATCAGCATTGCAAGGACTGTGTGGCTAAGTGAATTCAAGAAGTCACACTGTCGAGTGAGTGATTTGCAGCTCTGCACGAGTCCCTCATGAATACAGTGGGATGAGAATTAGTCATGATTGTTTCCCTCAGTGGGAGATCCAATGTGGTGGGAGGCCATTTCACAATCTTGTCAGCTTCAGGACAGAATCCAAATTACCTGCAGTGTAAATGAGATGCCACACTAAATGCTTAATCAATCTCATTAATACAGGAGATATTTAACAAAGGATGTAGAAGACTGTGGAGGGTCTCTTGTGGCACAGCAGTAGTGTCTCTCCCTCTGAGATGGAAAGCCTGGGTTCAGGTCCCACCTGTTCAAGAGGTGTGTAATAACATTACTGAACAGGTTGATTAGAAAATACACAGAAGACTGGGGAAAATGTCTTGCTACATCATTTAAGTCAGCGTTGCCATACTGTTGTACTTCTCAACTCAATTGCATATTTTTGATAGGTTTGATTTCCAGGACTAGGCCAGCACCAACTACGAAGCCAGTCAACTCACTTTATATTCTTTCATTGGACATGAGTGTCGCCAGCAAGACCAGCATTTTGTTGCCCTTCCCTGATTACTCTTCACCATCACCTTAAACTGCTACAGTGCATTTTAATGTAGATACATGCACAGTATTGGGAGGAAAGGAGCCTCCAGGATTTTGACCCAGCAATAGTGGAGAAATGGCAATACATTTCCAAGTCAGGATGGTGACTCTTGGAGTGAAGTTGCAGGGGGTGGTGTTTCCAAATATCTGCTGCCCTTGACCTTCTAGATGGTAATCAGCCTCCATTTGGAAGATGCTGTCTAAGGAGCCTTGGTGAATTGATACAGTGCATCATGTAGATGATACACACCACTGCTATGTGGAGAAGGGAATGGATGTAGTGCTAATCAAGAGGGCTGCTTTGTCCTGGATGGTTCCAAGCTTCTTAAGTGTTTTTAGAGCTGCACCTATCCAGACAAGTGGGGAGTATTCCATCACACTCCTGATTTGTTCCTCATACATGTTGATCAAACCTTTGGGAATTAGGAGGTGAATTAGTCACTGCAGAATTCCTAGCTTCTGACCTGCTCCTGTGGCCATTGACACCAGCCCTTAGATTAAGAGCAGCATGATATATTTTTCCCCATTTTTACTTAGAATAAATTGCACTATAATCTGATTATTTACGCATGAAACTTAGAAATGCTGCTCAGGATGGGTAAAATATTTATATGAGCAGCACATCAGTTTAACACAAGCATGATTGTGATTTTGAATGTATTATTTCTGGGCAAATCATTAGAGAAAGGATTTGGGAATGTGCAAATCATACTACTTTGTATGATTCAATACAACACAGTTCATTCAAAGGATAGAATGAAAAGTTTCCTCTATTTGGTAAGACTTGCATGGGTGGGGATAGATGACAAATTTTAAGTAGGATTTGGTGACAAGATTTGGTCCCAGGCCCAACCATCTTCAGCTGTTTCATCAATGACCTTCATTCTGTCCATAATGTCAGAAGTGGGATGTTTGCTAACGATTGCTCGATGTTCAGCAATATTTATGAGTCCTCAGATACTGAAACAGTTCATGCAGCAAAACCTGGACAATGTCCAGGCTTGGGCTGAAAAGTGGCAAGTAAAATTCGCACCATACAAATGCCAGACAATGATCATCTCCAGTAAGTGACCGTTCACCCACCACCTGATTACATTCAATGACATTACCATCACAGAAATCCAACTAGACTCACCACATTAACACAATGGATACAAGACCAGGTCTGGGAGGGGAGGGGGCTGGTGGTGGTGGTAACTCACCTGATTCCTCAAAGCCTGTCCACCATCTATAAGGTGCAAGTCAGGAGTGTGATGGAATACTCCCCACTTGCCTGGATGGGTGTAGCACCAACAACATTCAAGAAGCTTGACACCATCCAGGACAAAATAGTTTGCTTGACTGACATCACATCCACTCCCTCCACCACTGCTGCTCAATAGCAGCAGTGTGTACTACTTACAAGATGCACTGCAAAATTTCACCAGATGTCCTGAGGCAGTACCTTCCAAACACATGGCCACTTCCATCTTGAAAGATAAGGGCAGCAGATACATGGGAACACTACCTGCAAGATCCCATCCAAGATGCTCACCATCCTGACTTGGAAACATATCGCTTTTCCTTTAGTGTCACTGGGTCAAAAATCTGGAATGCTCTCCCTAAGGGCATTGTGGGTCTATCTGCAGCACATGGACGGCCGCAATTCAAGAAGGTAGCCCACGGCCACTTTCTTCAGGGCGACTAAGGATGGTAATAAAGGCTGGCCTAGCCAGTGATGCCCACGCCCAATGAGTGAATTAAAAAAATAAGTGCGGCATAGGTTGAAGATTATTGTCATATGAATGAATGAGTTGGAACAGCAGTTAGAATATGGAATTCTTTATCACAGTCACCCACTGAGACAAAAATGATTAAAATCATTGAGAGGGAATTGGTTAAGTACGTGGAGAAAGCAGAATAGAAAAAGATTTGAGCAATCAGCAGGGGGATACTGTAAGAATAGACAGTCAAGAGCTGGCATAGGTACAAATAGAAATGTGCAGCATGGAAACAGAACCTTCGGTCCAACTAGTCCATGCTGACCAGATATCCTAAATACATCTAATCCCATTTGTCAGCATTTGGCCCATATCCCTCTAAACCCATCTTATTCATATACTCATTCAGATGCCTTTTAAAATGTTGTAATTGTACCAGCCTCCACCACTTCCTGTGGCAGCTCATTTCCATACATGCACCACCCTCTGTGTGAAAGACTTGCCCCTTGGGTCCCTTTTATATCTTACCCCTCTCACCTTAAACCTATACCCTGTAGTTTTGGACTCCCCTACCCTAGGGAAAAGACCTTGTCTATTCACCCTATTCATGCCCCTCACGATTTTATAAACTTCTTTAAGGTCACCCCTCAGCCCCTTTATAAAGACGACTGTTAAAAAGAGAGCACAACTCTCAATGGTATGGAGTCATACAGTGACAGTGGCATGTTTTATTTCTTCCCAGTGGAAGTGTGTGTCCCTGTAAAGTATTGTGCCTGCAAGGGTGGTGGAATTACACACAAAGGAAGTAGTTTCTCGAATAAGTTGAAAGAGCCAGTACTGGCCTGAGGAGCCAAATGGCCAACTTCTATGCCTCATGATTATAATGTCTCTCAGTTCTGGCCAATTGGTGACTTCAGTTCCAGACCCAAAGTTGATTCAAAAGCTGCAGAAAGTGGTTAGCTTACTAGAACAGAAAACCAAACACAAGAAGCAAGACAGTGGTAGTGCCCTTACCTTTGGGCTAGGAAGTCCAGGTTAAAGTCCACCTGCCCTGGAGGTGTGTCAGAACAGGTTGATTTAGAATAACTGTAAGATATAAAAGGGACCCAAGGGGCAACTTTTTCACACAGAGGGTGGTGCATGTATGGAATGAGCTGCCACAGGAAGTGGTGGGGGCTGGTACAATTACAACACTCTAAAAGGCATCTGGATGAGTATATGAATAAGAAGGGTTTAGAGGGATATAGGCCAAATGCTGGCAAATGGGAGTAGATGTATTTAGGATGTCTGGTCAGCATGGACTAGTTGGACTGAAGGTTCTGTTTCCATGCTGCACATTTCTATTTGTAACTGTAACTGATCACTGTCCTGGGAACCAGTGAAGAATGGTTGTCTTTGATCAGGTAATATATATTTGAATGATGTAGAGACTTCATTCCTGCAGTCAACTGAAACAAGTGCATTACAAACACCACTGGGATACTTGCACATGCTGGATTGTGAACTACAGCTGTTTTTCTTTTTCAGTACTCTCTTACATAATCACTCAAATGTGTACAGAATGCAAAGCAATTTCTGCAATATTGAATGATTGTATCACCATTTTGCTAAGTTTATTTTGAATCTCACCATAAAATGCAAACATAGAATTACAGATCATTGCATTATTTAATGTAGTGTATGCCTTTCATGACCTCCTGTGCAAACGTTTCAGTATGTGAAATACTTGCCAAACAAAGTACACATACTTTTACCTATGTGCTCTCTCTTTGCATTTATTGTGTTTTTTAAATGCTTGTTACTCCTTCTTTTTGGTCCTGTTTTCCTTCGCAGCAAGTTTCTTCTTGCTGTTACACCTTCCACAGGCATGTTTTATGGCTGTTTTATCTCTGCTTTATATTTCTAGAGTTGCATCAGTTTTAACAAGGCAGAAAAGGGGCCATAGGCTAGAGCTGGTGGTTGCTGACATTTATACATGTCACATGGTTGCTCTGCCCTTCATTGAATCATAGAATCCCTACAGTGAGGAAAGAAACCATTTGGCCCATCGAGTCTGCCTTCTGAAGGGCATCTTGCCCACACTCAGCCCTCCCGCCCGTAAACCCATAATCAAACTAAATTTCACATCGTTAGACTGCGGGAGGAAACTGGAGCACCTGGCGGAAACTCAAGCAGACACTGGGGAGAACGTGCAAACGCCACACAGACACAGTCACCCAAGGCTGGGTCCCTGGTGCAGTGAGGCAGCAGTGCTAGCCACTGTGCCACCCATCCATGAGTTCACTTTACCCACATGGCAACACCACAAAAGCATCTTTATTACTATCTATCTGGTTCTCTCTGTCTCACTTTGTCAGCTTAATGCTCAATTCAGGTGAAGGTTCTGTAATCCCAGTTCATTGTACGTTTAATATGTACTTTGCTTGCAAACCTGTGTGGTGATTTCAGTGAGTTTGGTGGTACAGACTAATTGGGCCAAAGGGCCTCTTCTGTACTGTACGATTCTATGACTATACTCTGCAGCTTACAGACGAAAGTCTGGGGCTTTATATGTCGGATGCAAGCCCAGCAAGCCCTGGTCCTGGCTTAATGTAATAACAGCTTAAATATTCTTTTCTTGCACTTTTTTTTATAACTTCTTCTAACTCATCCAGATTTTACATTCCTCTATCATGGATTTTATTGTCTACCTTGTTGCCAATGCCCAAGGTCAGAGCTTCCCAAAGTATCGGATGTGATCCCCAGTAGGTAGCCAGCCAAGGTTTTGGGGTCTGAGCTCTGTGGCAGCAATGGCTACCATGGATCTCGGAGTGAATGCTATCAGTTGCGTGGTCCCTTTTGACTGACAGGCTTTTTAAAATAGTGGGCATGGGTTAGTCCTTTAGACCTGAATCCTGTTCTAAAAACCCACAATGGAATGGTGAGGTGTTTCTTACTTAAAAATTCTGTGGATTAAACGTCTCCCCGTCTCCTCCCTTGCTCTCATGGGTTTCCAACCTGTCCCCTACCCTTCCCTTCCCAGAAGTAAAAATCTGGTCTAACGATCACCACGTACCCACTGTCGATTGCTGTAGAAATGCAATTTGGCCACTAATGTCCTTTTAAGGAAGGAAATTTGTTGCCCTTATCTGGTCTGGCCTATTTGTGACTCCAGATCCATGGCTGAAAGAACTGCGGATGCTGTAAATCAGGAACAAAAACAGAAGTTGCTGGAAAAGCTCAACAGGTCTGGCAACATCTGTGAAGAAAAAAATCAGAGTTAACGTTTTGGGTCCAGTGACCCTTTCTCAGAACTTTGCGTAATTTGGGATAGGCAATAAATGCTGACTTAGCCAGCAATGCCCACATCCCATGAATGAGTTAAATGCACACTTCCAATGCTGCCTTTTCTAAGTGCTGTGAATTCGGACTGGGAAAGTGATTGCTCAATCCGTTGCTATTTTTATCTTGTAACGGTGTATTCTCAACACCACTACACCAAAAAACTAATTCAGCTGTCATTTTCTGATCATCTAATCTGCAATCCTGTAAAGCTAGCAGTGATTTTGTTAAAATCTGGTGTTGAGTTTGATGATTTAAATTCCTTCATTAGTTTAAAATCCGAAAGAACTGCAGATGCTGTAAATCAGGAACAAAAACGGAAGTTGCTGGAAACGCTCAGTAGGTCTGATGGCATCTGTGAAGAAAAAAATCAGAGTTAACGTTTCAAGTCCGCTGGATTGTGAGGAAGGGTCACCAGACCCGAAACCTTAACTCTGATTTTTCTTCACTGACGCTGTCAGACCTGCTGAGCTTTTCTGGCAACTTTGGTCCTACAGAAGTTTAGTTGCCTGAGCAAAACTGAGATTGTGCAGCATACTTAAGAGTGATGATTTCTATTTGGTTGAACTCTATCTGAATACTGGGCTTGTTACAAATGTTTTCATGCAATGATTGTGCCTGCTTTAGGTGCAAAGATTGGAACTTATTTTTGCAGTTACTGTTATCTTATGGAGGTCACTGTTATTAATAGCTTAGATTTAGTCTTTCTGAGAGCAACTGTGAAAATAGACTGTAGGAGTAAATTACTGCGGATGCTGGAATCTGTACTGAAAACAAATAATGCTGGAAATCACAGCAGGTGGGGCAGCATCCATGGAGAGAAAGCAACTAATGTTTCAAGTTCTGATGACTCTAAAGGGCTTTGATGAAGAGTCATCTAGATTGACACATTAGCTTGCTCTCTCTCCATGGATGTTGCCTGACCCACTGTGATTTCCAACGTTTTTTTGTTTTCTGTGAGAATAGATTCCTGCTCTCCATCACCATTTCCTATGCAATTAAGAGTGGACAATAAATGCTGACCTGCCCAGTGACATATTCCATGCATAAACATGTATTTCATTTGATAGTGGGAGTGTTGGCACATTGAGCATCCATTCTGAGAGGGTAGTAGAAGACTGTTTTCCCTCAGAATCTCCCTCCTGCAAACTGTCCGTACCTTAACTACTCTGGAACTGACAGGATGCCCAGCTTGGAAGTCAGTAGTACTGATACAGTAGTACTCCCTACCCTCTGCAGGATGAACAAAACTTCCTTACAAGGCATTTTTTTAAAGAAAATCTTACATCAGAAAATTTCCATTTGGTTAGTTCTTGATTTTGCTGCAGAATAATTTTATTTTGTCTTCACTTGTGCAATCTTCCCCTGATAGAATCCAATTCACAAAATTTCTGCACTGTTATCATCTGTTCCACTGAGCTGTTAAACTTTTTTAAAACTAAGACAGTGAAATTTATTTTTATACAATTCCGGCACTGAAGGAGTAACTATGCAACAGACTAATTGCAGCGTGAAAGAACTGTTCACATTATCCCATTGTGAAAATTCATGCCTTTGTTCAGCCACCTCTTTAAATATTCCAGAGTGTCAGGCTTGAGCAGATACATTCTCTCCAAATGAAGGTAAACTCTTGCTCAAGGCGCTCGGTGTAGTCCATTCCTTTTTAGGACTTTGTTTTTGTTCAAGTTCTGTTTCATTCCAGTTGTTAAGATTGTTACGAGCCTTCACTTACTCCCCTGGATTTGGATGTTATGCATGACTAATCGTCACCTCGTAAAACTGTAAGCTTTCAGCTGCAAACCAACTATTTGCCGACCCCGGTTGTGTTCTACCCATTGCGCCTGTCATCCAACTCAGTCAGCTTTGCCATCCAGGAGTCGTCAAAAATTGTGCCGAGCATATCCCACTTGCAGCAACTGTGCATCAGGCGGCTGATCCTAATCTGAAGATGGTGTGAGTACGCGGTTTGTGTGTAAGGTGAAGAGAGCAGCTCAGTTTTTGTCAGTGCAGTCACCGGAGGCTGTCTCCTACTGCATGTGGCTCCTCAGTCAGTCGCAGCTGCCCGCAGCTATAGACTGGTGAGTGGTGACGGATGTCAGGTTGTGAACGGATGACTGTTGTTGCCTTTCATTCAGTTTCTGTAAATGTGGGAACTGCTTAGCAATTTTGTTCTACAGAAACCTGCTGTAAACCTGCAGGGATGCGCAGGCTTGATGGATCAGCCATGATAAGTGTGGGGTCACAGGATGCTGTAGGGACTGGGCCTGGGTGGGATATTCTTCAGAGGGTCGGTGCAGATTCGATGGGCCGAATGGCCTCCTTCCGTACTGTAGGGGTTCTGTGAATCTATGTAAATTGTTGCACCCATTCCTTGGATGAGTAAGCAGTTTACTCCAATTTTTAGATCTTGAGCAGCTGGGCTGTTGCAACATATTCAACCCTATTGCATTTTGATGCAAAGTATGTAGATCTCCTGACTATTCAGCTAGTTGTATTTGCATTGAATGTTCAGTATGGAGGGGAGACCATTCAGGCTATCATACCTCTTCTGGTTCTTTTGAAAGAACTGTCCAGCAAATTCCTTTCCTTTTGGCTGTGTGGAATTTTCCCCCTCAATTATTTATCTAATTCCCATTTGAAAGTTACTGTTGAACCTGCTTCCACCACCCTTTCAGACAATGTATTCCAGATCATCATATGTTTTATTGCATAAAAACAATTTCCTATCACGAGCCGTGTCTCTGGTTCTTTGACAATGCTTGTGCATCTTAGAATTTTGAAAAAAACTATAAAAATTCAGCAGATGGTTTAAGTTGGTATTAAAACAAAAACGGCCAGTGGGTAAATGAGGACAATGAAATTAAATGACAAATTGCAAACTGGAAGGTACTCCTTGAAGGACAGTGAAAGCAGATTCAATAGTGACTTTCAAAGGAAAACTGGGTTTCTACTTGAAAAGTGGCAACAAAGATGCAAGGCTATGGGACTTACTGTGATTGCTGTCTCAGTGAACGGAGGGTCAAATTGCCTCGTTTTGTGCTGAATGGTTCTAGGGTTGGCATCTGCAATGAAAATTAAAAAAAGTTTTTAAAAACATTTCATGTTATTTGGCTTTAGAGAGAGAGAGAGAGAGAGATGGAGACAAGGAGAAGAGATAAGTAAACAATTTGGTATTTAATGAAGGGTCTGACCCAATGGTTTAGTGTTTAATAAAGGGTCTGACCCAACTTTTCCCTTCCAAACATTAACTGTATTGCGAGCTATTTCACCACTTTTGTTTCCTTGTTTGTCGCAACTGTTATGATTTACATCAGTGTCCGATAAGACTGCAGAGAGAATCCAACTTGGGCACAGAATTTTAGGAGTTTCCCTCCGTCCTATTATAGAATTTGAGTACTATCTACAGTTCTGTCCATAAGATATAAAAGCAGAAATAGGCAATTCAGCTCATTGAATCTGCTGCACCATTTAATGAGAACATGGCTTATCTGAGAATCCTCAACTCCACTTTCTTGCGTTTTTCCTGTAACCCTTGATTTCCTTACCGATTTTAAAAATCTCAGCCCTGAATATATTTAACAACTAACCTTCAACAGCCATCTGCAGTAAAAACTTTCCACAGACTTACTACACTACATCCTCATCTCTCTCCTAAATGTGCCACCCTTTATTCTGGGACTATACTCTCCCAATTTGTGAACTACTCAACCCTGTTCATAAGAGAGTCCCTGTATATCTCTTATCACCATAGTGAACCTTATCTGGACTGCATCCAGTGCCAGTATATTTTTCTTTAGATAATGGGCTCAAAAACTGTTCACCATATTCCTGCTGTGGTCTAATTAGTGCCTTATTTTGTTTTAGCAAAATCTCCCTACTTTTATGTTTCATTCCCTTTGAAAGGCCAACATTCCATCTGCCTTCCCTATTACCTGCTGAACTTGGATACTAGCTTTCTGTGATTCGTGAATGATTCTGCAGCTTTGTGCAGTCTTTCTCCATTTAAATAGCATTCAGCTCCTCTATTCTTCCTGCCAAAATGCATAACCTTACATTTCCCCTCATTGTATTCCATCTGCCAAGTTTTTACCCACTCACGTAAGTGCCTCTATTCCTCTGCAAACTCGAGTCATCCTCTCGACTTGCCTTCCCATCTATTTTAGTGTTATCTGCAAACTTGGCAGTTGTATTTGCACTTACCTCATTCAAATCATTAATATATTTTGTAAATAACTGTGGCCCAAGCACTGATCGCTGTGGTGCACTACCAGTTACAGATTGCCAGCCTGAAAATACCCCACTTACCTCCGTCTTCTATCAGTTAGCCAACCCGCTCTTCATGTTAAACCACCACCAACACCATGAGCCCTTATCTCATTGAGTAGCCTAATGTGTGAAAACTTATAGAATGCCTCCTTAAAATCCAAATATATTACATACACTCTTCCCCATTATCTATCCTGTTTGTCACCTCCACAAAGAATTCTCATAAATTTGTCAGGCCTGATTTCCCCAAAATGAAGCCATTCTGACTCATTGACATAGGTGAGTTCATATTATTCTGCCAATTGATTGTTTGTTACAGTCCAGAGAATTCACCTGATGCCCACCTGAATTACATTAAAGCCTGATTATTAGGGATCCAGGAGTAGTAACTCGTCACAACTTCTGTTCCTTGCACACAGGATTTACTGTTGTTCTCCTGTAATGTGATTAAAACTGTATATGATAAAGAATAGCAGGGCACATATGTTGACTCATCAAGTGTGAGCCCCTGCAGGCATTCAGTTTATAAACAGACTATTTTTTTTATGAGATCTCAGTGTAAAATATTTCTTGCAAACCTTTACATGATATCCTATTAAACTATAAACGACAAGAGCCAAGCAATGGCAAATAAACATAGAAAATGCCATTAAATATTTTTAAAGCTGTTGTCAGGCAGATAACGTGCCTTCACCTTTATATAAGCCAAATTCACTACCACTTAGATGTAATGCACAGTTAGGAGCAGTCTTAGTGGAATAGCCCCTGCAGATCCCTCATCCAAACCAGCACCCTCCTTTTAATTTAAAAAAAATCTGAAATTACAGCTATGAAATGGGGGTGGGGGGCAGTGCGAGGCAAGTAACCGAACAAATGTCTGCAGAAATGAATGTTGAAGTTCTGAGTGATCTCCAATCTTTGGGAACAGCGTGTTCCATTCCTTTGGGTGAAAATGCTCCAAACAGTTTTACATCTAAGTGGCCTCATTCTAATTTAAGGATGTGCTCTTGAAGAACCTTATTCCATTGTCAGAGATACACTTGACACTTCCCGTTACTCAGTGGGGAAGAAAAGGCACATTTCTGCAGCACCCCTCTTAACTGCTGGAAGACCCAAGGCACTTTGCAGCGAATAGATTACTTTGCAGCATAGTCCCCATTGTAACATAGGAAGAGTGACAGCCAATTTGTGAACAGCAAGTTCCCACGAAAAGCAACATGATCTGTTACCGTGATGTTTATTGAGGGATTGATATTGACCTGGACACCACCTCTTCTCTTCGAAATGGTGCCCTGAAACCTTTTGGCATCCACCTCAGGGCAGAAAGGGACTCAGTTTAGTGTCCCAACTAAACTGCAACTCTAACAGTTCAGCACTGGAATGTCGCCTTAAATTTTGTGCTTAACTTCTCGAACCCACAACCTTGTATTCCAGAGATCGGTACGCTACCAGCTGAGCCACAGCAGAAGAGTCAAAAATGTACATACCTTAATTTCAATAAGGATTATGTAAGCAGCCACATTTGAAAGTTGTAAAGGAAACGGAGTGGCACAGTGGCTCAGTGTTAGCCACTACTGCCTCACAGTGCCAAGGACCTTGGTTTCATTTCATCCTCAGACAACTGTCTGTGTGGATTTTGCACGTTCTCCCCATGTCTGCATGGGTTTCCTCCAGGTGCTCCAGTTTCCTCCCACAGTCCAAAAATGTGCAGGTTAAGTGGATTGGCGATACTAAATTGCCTATAGTGTCTAGGTGGATTAGCTATGGGAGATACAGGGTTACAGGGATAGGGTTGGGTCTGTGTAGGATGCTCTTCAGTGGGTTGGTGTGAACTTGATGGGCTGAATGGCCTGCTACTACACTGTTGGGATTCAGTGAAATTGTTTCAGTTATTGCATGGCAAATCAAGACTATTATGTAATAAAGAATTTTTGCTGCATCTTTTGTAACCTCGATGTTCTGAAGTGCTTTGCAACCGATGAAGCATGCTTGAAGTGTAGCTATTGTTGTATTGGAAGAAACCGGGCAATCACTTCACACAGAGCAAGCTCACATAAATGGTCATGAAAGAATGACCAGATAATTTGTTTTTATTGATATCGGCCTGCTTTTCCATGTTTGATGTTTGCCACTGAAAGCCAAAACTTGTACATAAGTTGGAACTTGTTGCCTTTACTAGAAAAGCAGTAGAAAAGCTAAACTGGCAGATCCTGGCACCATTCAGGTATCTTAAGCTTGCTCTCTCATTCAGTAAGATTATAGTTGATCAGCTTTTCCAAGCCAGGGGAAACGTTTTCTCAATATCTACACTGTCAAGTCTGCACGCCCTACTCATAATCTGACCTGTTTCAAAAAGCCCAACCATCTTCATCTGCTTTATTAATGAGCCTCCCTCATAAGGTTGGAAGTGGGAATGTTCACTGTGCAACCATCAATGTTCAGTATCATTTGCGACGACTCAGGTACTGAAGCAATCCAGGTTCAAATGCAGCAAGACGTGGACAATATCCAGGTTTAACCAGACAAGTGGCAAGTAACATTGCCTAGCACTTGTGTGACATGAATGACCATCTCCAACAAGAGAATATCTAATCACCAGAAGAATTAATGGCATTATCATCACTGAATCAAGGGGAAGGAGATGGCCTTGTGGTATTATCGCTGGACCGTTAATTCAGAGACCTAGGTAATGTTCCAGGGATCTGGGTTCGAATCCTGCCAAGGCAGATGGTGGAATTTGAATTCAATGAATAAAATCTGGAATAAATCGTCTATTGACGATTGTCAGAAAAAGCCATCTTGTTCACTAATGCCCTTTAAGGAAGGAAACTGCCATCCTTACCTGGTCTGGCTTACATGTGACTCCAGGCCCACAGCATTGGGCTTGACTCTAAACTGTCCTCTGGGATGGGCAATAAATGCTGGTCTAACTAGTGATGGCTTCATCCCATGAACAAATAAAAAAAAACTATCAATATCATGGACTGAATTAAACTAGCCATTGTAAGTACAAAAAAGTCATAAGGCACAAGTCAGGAGAGTGATGGACTACATCCAGGACAAAGCAATCCACTTGACTGTCACCAGTAACATAGCATTCACTCTCTCACCACTGACACACAGTAGCAGCAGTGTGTACTGTCTACAAGATGCACTGCAGAAAATCATCAAGGCTCTTTAGATCCCAAACCATGACAAGTGTCATCTAGGAAAACAAAAGCAGTACATTTATGAGAACGCCACCAGCTGAAGTTTCCGTCCAAGCCACTTACCATCCTGACATCCTAAATCACTCTTCCTTTACTATCACTGGGACAAAATCCTGGAACTCTATCCTTCATAGCACTGTGGGTGTCCCTACACAACAGGAGTTGCAGCAGTTCAAGATGACAGCTCCCCACCACCTTCAGGGCAATTACACATGGGCAATAAATGCAATGACACTCGCATCACTTAAATGAATAGTTTTAAAAATTCCTCTAAACCCCAGAGAGTTTAGATCCATTTTGCTCAATCTCTCCTTAATATGTTCTCATTTCCCCAAGCATCAATCTAATAAACCTTCATTCCATTCCTTTCAGGCAACAATATCCTTAGATTGGTCAAGTGGTCTCTTCTGGCACCGTACTATTCTTTCACTTTTGCTATTAGACTTTGTGTTGTTTCCATGTGTTTAATGAGGATCTCTGTTGAATTGTAGCTGGGATCATTTGTTACTGAGCTGACTAACTGACGTATGATGCAGACAGGGTATAATGAGGTCTGCCTCTAAAAAGTATTGATTTTTTTTCTAGAAAGTGCTATTCCTGCTCTGTCAGCTCTCTGCAGTAAGTGCACACCATCTGTACGAGTGTGCAATGTCAAATCACTGGACATTTTAAATGGCTGTTGTGTTTGAAGCAAGCACAAAATTTGCACCTTAATTATTGCAGCTACTTATTTTTAGAAGTTTACTAGGTTGTTTCCAATGCTCAAGAGACCACTTCCATACAATAACACATTTATCTGTGGGATAAGAAATCAAACTGAGGCTCCACCCTTCCTTCCCTCCACACCAAAAAAATGTAAGAGATCCTGCTGTAAATCAGCAGCAAAGTTCTTCTCAGTGTCCTGGGCCAATATCTATTTCCTTCTATCAACAACGCTACAAGAGATAATCTGTTCATTTTGGCCTTTGTAGGATTGTGTTGGGCAAAAACTGGCTACAGGTTTTTTGTAATTGCTACACTTTAAAACAAACCTAATTGGCTGGAAAACACTGAGATTCCTTGAGATTGCAAAAGACACTTTTCAGAAGTGCCAGTTCTTTCTTTCAAATCTGCAAGTTGCCAGGCTGACTGATGTGGTGTCTGCTACATTGTACACTGAGAAAAAGAATTCACATAACCAGTATTTTCAGCCCATTCAAATTCTTTACATTATTTAATGATTTGGCAGAGGAAATGGATGACTGTATTTGCCCTACCATCTGCATCTTTTTAAAAATTTGTTCATGGAATGTGAGTATTGTCAGATGGGCCAGCATTTATCGCCCAAGGGCATTTAAAAGTTGGTCACATTGCTGTGGGTCTGGAGTCACATGTATGCCAGGTAAAGACGGCAGGTTTCCTTCACTGAAGGATATTAGTGAATTAAATCAGTTTTTATGACAGTCTACAATTGCTACAGAGGCACAGTCAGACTAGCCTTTCAATTACAGAGTTTTATTGAGTTCAGTCTTTGCTATGGTGGGAATTCAAACCCATGTCCCTCGAGCATCAGGCTGGGTTTCTGGATTACTAGTCCAGTGATGTTACCACAATGCCACTGCAATGTAGCATTTCAGTTCACTGGGTCAGTTTAGCTCAGTTGCCAAAAGGCTGTCTGGTAGTCGATTCCAAATGTTCATAACAACTGGTTTCTTATTTGTAAATAGCTGACCCCATATTAGATCATCAGACCTAGGAGCAGAAGTGGGCCATTCGGCCCATTGCAACTGTTCCACCATTCAATGAGAATATGCCTGATCTGATAATTCTTAACTGAACTTTTCTGCTTTTCTCTATTACCCTTGATTCCTTTACCTTATTAAAAATCTGTTTCCTTCAGCCTTTAATTTACTTCACGACTTAAACTCTTAATGAATTCCACAGATTCACGACCTTCTAAGAGAAGAAATTCCTTGTCATGTCTGCTCTAACTGTGCAGCCTCTTGCTCCGAGATTATGCCGTCTGGTCCTAAATACTCCCACAAAGGGAGACAACCTGTCCTCACCTATCCTGCCAAGTTCCCTTAAATACCGTATGTTTCAGTAAGGTTCACCTTCATATTCTGAGTCAGTGACCACTTCTTATAGCTTCTCCAGCCAGACAAAACATCATCTCAGCATCTATGGCTCAAGAATTTAAAAAAAATTTTTCAATTAGATCATCCCAAATTCTCCTAAACGCCAAGA